GTACAAGGAGGTGTAGTATGTAGGAAGGCTTGTGTATGGTATGGCTTCTAGTGTTGTGTTGTATTCAATGATTGAATGCCCATGACCTATATTTATAGGTGTAGATGGAGCTTGAAAGAAATGGTCGGAATATTCTAGAAATTCCTCCGTCATTCTTGTATCCATAATGTACTAGAAAATTCACGAACCATACATTATATTCTAGCTAATAACTTCCAATGTCAATAATTCTCTAGAACATTCAAGTAAGATATTAATCTAGAGATTACGAAAGCCTCTAGAATATGCACAATACTCCACCAAAATAATGGACTTATAAAATTTGGGCCATACCCAGGCCAACATGCACGTCTTTAAAAGTCGGTTTCAAGGATATATATTTACCTAATACGTGCATATTTTTTAGGGATTAGGTTTTACTGAATAAAGAAATTTATTTTCTAATAAATCCCTTTTGGAAAAAGATAAGTTTGTTTAGAAAGTATTATTGAACAAAAAGATAATAAAATCTGATATTATGTTAATTATATCTTTATAATTATTGACAGACTTTATTCTTAACATTAAGATAAATTTTCGGAAAACTTCTTTTTAGAAATTATCTTTTAAACTTATCTTTTGATAAAACCTATCTTTTTCAAGATGAAACGAATCATTCGAGTGTACTATATATATGCTCATATGTATTCATTCAAAGTTGAGGCTAACGTAGTTTAGTTGTCGTGCTTAATGGTTTTATCCTTCACCACGAAGCTAAGTCAGTCCTCCTAGTCAAAGTTCCTATCAGGCTTTGGTTTTTAGTACATACAGTGAGTTCTAGACAGATCTCAAGTGTCCAACATATTAGTTTAATCTCTTTATTCATGTATATATGTATTTAGAGTTATTCAATGAGATCTTGTAATGGGAAAAAGGGTTGAGTATTTTGGGTATTAGGTGTGATCAGTTTGAAATCTCTAAAATTCATGTATGAGTTTGAAATCTTTAAAATTCGTGAGGAGTTTGAAAGTCTCTAAAATTCGTGTGGTAGATGTGAGTGCACAATGAGTGATCTTCAATTGTGAAGTCGAGTGTAGGCACTCCGAGAGTACTGAGTGAACCTAAGTGGGACTTAGGTTGGGTAGGATAGGGTCCTATTAGGTAGCAAGTAGTCCACTGAGAAACTTGCGAGAAAGATCTGTGTGTAATAGGTTGTAACTAGGAGTTGCTCTATTATAGTAAAATGTTTGTGTTGAAAATCTCTTGGAGAATCGAGGTTTTACTTTCTGTTGGGCCCTGAAAGGTTTCCTCGTAAAATCCGTTTTGCACTCTTTAAGTTCCTTACTTTAACTGTTTTATATTCCGCGAAAATTAGGCATTAGGAACTTACTACAATTCACCCCCCTCCCCCTCTTGTAGTATACCATCCAAATAACATGTTTGTATTTGACAAAAAATATGGCATTGCAAAGAAATTAAAGTTTTTACTAAAAGAACATGATAATACATTAGAGAACATGTTATTTGTCATGGTTACTCAGGTGGTTGAATGTGTTTGAAAAAGAACCTTGTATTTTACAAGAGAACATGTTTGTGTTTGACAAAGATAGAGATGATCATTGGGTGGGGTGGGTTCGGGTTGAGTCGAGGTCATAAAAAGCAGCCCATTTCTCAGGTCGGGCTAGAATTTTGGTGCCCAAATCGGCCCAAAATGTTTGGGCCATGTGGGATTTTCAGGTCGGGCAAAAAAAAAAAGTAAAACTAAAAATGCATAAAAACGCATTCCCAAACCCGCCCAAAAAAAACATTTTTTTTTCATGGTTACTCAGGTGGTTGAATTTAACATTCTTTTTTATGTACATACATTATTAAGCATATTGTATAATGTAAAAAACATATAGCTTAAACTCAAAAAAATAGTAATCAAACTCAAAGAACATATATTATGCTCGCATTCTTTATAAATGTCTGTATTGTTATTTTTTACGCCCATGTTCTTTTAAATATACCTAACGTTCTTTTCCGGGTGCACCAACCACACATTAATATTTTATTCCAAATCTATACTTATATTACTCCGTATGTTATTTTATTTTATGTATAACATAGTATCATCAACATTTTTTTATTTATCAAATTTTTAGTTTCATACATATAAGCTTCATACGTATAAATCGTACATTCATACAAGAATGTATAGTTTTGCTTATATTTTTATGCTTTATCGGACTCATATACAAAGATTTAGTTTCATACATATTGTAGGGATATTTCAAGTGTTATCCTTAGCTTGAACCCCACTGTGATCATACACTAAAGTATATACGGTGGCGTCCAAAGGGAAAGAAGATAGAGCAAAAGAGTCACCAACAAGTTTTAGGAACTTGTAAACCGTTCACGAGGTGAAGGTTACACCCCTTAACGATCCAGGAGATCGTCAACTCCAATAGGTCTGGAACCATGACTGGTAGTTCGGGGATGAAGGTACAAATCCAACCTAAAAGAGATTGAACCTGCCCTAATAATAGGCCTCTACTTTATTCTGATCGTATTCATGTGCGCTTTCTGACTAACATGCAATCAATAGGTTTAACCCTAAACTTGTTTATCTATGTTGGTTGAATATTAATGCACAAATAAGTCTATTATTGGCGATCACATGAATTATAATCATATTAACCCTAAACAAGATTATTAATTATCTTATTAAGCGTGATTACAAGTACCAATTCCCTTTAAACATGCATAAAAGTTGTGATCAAGCAATAACAATAAATCAAGCAACAATAATCATAATAATAACAATAATCATCATAAAATTATAATCATAAATCATGTTAAAGCATAATAATAGCAAGATTCTACGCATTATAATAACAAGATTAATAACAAACCCTAGCATGTCACTAAACAATAAAAATCAAAGCTTTAGCCCTAACATGATACTAACATGAATATTAGGAAGAGAATAGGAAGCATTATTTTAATCATACTGATATTAGAAATTTTAGTTATTACCCTAAACATGATACTAGGAATCAAAATAACAACCTAGACATGATTTCTATATCATAAAATCAATAAATCAAGTAAAGCACTTACTTGGATGCCTCGTATCTCTTTCTAATAACAAAATACACGAGTTAGTAACTTCAAGGAATATATAAACAACAATTAAATTAAATAATTGAAAAGAGTTAAGAAAGTTTAGACTACATTTGGGACCAAACCCTCATAAATCAAAACCTTTCACGTATAAGGCGAAGGCAACTTCGAATTATGCTAGGTGTGTCTAGTACTAATGTATGAGGAATTATGTTTGTAAAAGGCTAGGCTTAGAAAGAGAGAGAGAATCAAGAATTCTTGAAGAGTGTTGGTGATTGAAAAATAGGAGATATGACCTCTATTTATAGAGCAAAAAGAGATTCGAAGAATAAGAAAAGAATCTGAATTCGAATCGAAATAAAACTCGATGGACAGCAGTTTTTGCGGATTTTGTTTTTATCATATCTTTTGATCCAGAAGTCCAAATAAGGCATATAATATGGAGTTGGAAAGATCTTGAAATCTACTTTCCAAACCAATTAAAATAAGATTAAAATCTTTTGTATATAAAAATATAGCGCCGAAATAGTAGGATGGTATCAGTTTTGGATAGAGTTTCATATCTCATTCATATCTTTTTCGTTATAGCTCGGAATTAATATTATAATATATCATTGGAAAGATAATTTCAAGATCTATCCAACCATATAAAATTTGGATAAATATTATGAGGCACGAATATAAAATCTGACTGGCTTTGAACATCTTTAAATTCGAATAGAATTAAGATTTAAGAAAAGGAAAGTTTTTATTTAACTCAAATTCTTTAATCTTATCTTTTCAAAAAGGATAATTAAGATCTTTTAGAAACTTATAGAAGCTTCCAATTAATCCTATTTTTTTAGGAATAGGATTAAACCTTTTGACCCTCCACATGATCATTGGGTCGTAGGTAAAATCTGGTTTAGGCCCAATTTAGTATTTTGGCCATAACTTTCTCATTATTCATCGGAATTGGGCTTATAATATAGGAAAAATTGTTAGGAACTACATCCTAAATAGGGGTATTTGGAAAAAACTATCCGCTAAAAAAATTTATCAAAAAAACTACCCCCTAAATTTAAAAAGTTAGAGTAGCACTACCCATTTGCATTTTCCGACGAGAAAGTCCGGCGTGTGGGGCCCGCTCTTTCAATTTTTCTTCTGAAAATTCCTAATTGAAGAAGTGAAAACAAGTAGGGTATGCAATTCATAGGTAATTCTTCTCTTTTAACCCATTAATTATGAATTTTGATGTTAGGGTGTAACGATTAGAAAAATTAGGGTTCTTAGAAATTGGGGATAATTTGAAATTGGTTGAATTTATTGCTTTTAATTCAAATTGGTTATCTTAGGGTTACGAATTAAGGTCCAATTTTTCATTGCATCGTGTCTTTTTAGAGAAAAATTGAAAAAGTGGGCCCAAGTGCCGGACATTCTCGCGCGGAAAATGCAATGGGTAGTGCTACTCTAACTTTTTAAATTTAGGGGGTAGTTTTTTTGATAAAATTTTTTAGTGGGTAGGTATTTCCAAATACCCCTATTAAGCGTGTAGTTGCTGACAAATTTTCCTATAATATATCGTTGGAAAGGTCTTTTTAAGCCCCATCCAACAACACCATTATTGGACTCATATCATGGACCAAACTAAACTGGAATGTACGTTTTTCATAAATAAGGTAAGAATAGAAATATTTTCAAAAACAGATAGAAGAGATATTTTAATAAAAACATCCTCATTACTAGACTTTTCACACTTTCGCTTTGTTCGATAATCAAATGACATGAAAGGTATTCATCACTGGGTTTGGTTTTGGGGAGACACAAATAGGTGTCTACACATATAAACTGTACATTCATACAATTAAGAGTATACGTACCCTAATTAAGTAGCATGTTTAAGTTGCATTATTTGGTTTTTCAGCAAAAACAAGAAATATTCCAAGTTATAATAAAAGGCTTAGATAGATCATAGGTGCACAACATTGTCTTACATTAGATCTTTATAAATAGTACTCTTCAAACTTTAATACAAAGAGACACTACAAAACCAATCATAGGAGACATTAATTCATCACAAAGTATAATTTAAATGTTGGTCTAATTTAGTCATAAATAAAGTTTGTATATCAATGTATGATGTTTGCTAAGCTAGTTCTCAACAGATAATTGTGCTTTGACAATAGCATCACTCATTCCCTCAACATAAGGGAACATATGCCCAGACCCTGATACCTCATGGTAGTGAATCCAAGGCAATTTTTGAGCTATGTATCGTTGCATGATCACGGGCACAAGCATATCCTCGTCGCCTTGCCAAAGGTGAACCATTCCCTCGTTGTTAGGGAATGGATTCTCTAACTGAAGGGGATCGAATTCCCATTTTCCAAATCCAACAATCATGTCTCGATGGATCGATTCGTGCACCCCTTGCTGCCTTACTGGAATCTGATAGCCAAGAAATGCAAGAAAAATTAGGGATCGATAAATATGAATCACCTATCTGTTGCATAATAACTTTCAAATGTATCAAAGTCATAAATGTATCTACAGAGAGTATATATATAGCTACTCCGTAATGCTTGTAGTACATGCGGAGTAGCAAATTGTACACACTATAATAATTAATGCCGGTTTAATTTCGATTGAGCCAATTTTAAATATAATAAGAAATCATGTTAAGTTATTTTCAAAATCTTTACGTATGGTACATATCAAGTCAAGAATCTAAAATTGGAAAACCTAACTAGCGGTTACAAACATTCAAGACATAAAACATCAACATTGGACTTGTTTGGCATTGTTTTTTGTTTTGAGTTTTCAGTTTTTTTAAAAACAAAAAACCAAAAACAGGAAACAAGAATAAGGCGTTTTCACTTTTCTGTTGTCAGTTTTCAAAATTAGCATGATTTTAATAAGTTTGACTAATTTTTTATTCATTACATTACATATATCATACACTTTTAAAATACAAAAAACCAAAAAACTGAAAACCGCAACAATGTCAAACGAATCCTTACTTTTTAACTTTATTTTTATTTTCTAGTATGCTAAAAATGAGTCATCAGATTTAATTATAACTTTTGAAGAAACTTTATGTGAAGCATTTATTTGTCAAAACATCTTGCTTCTCTTTAAATTGACAACTTTTTATTTTTTCCTTTCAGTATCTTACATATGTGACATGACGGTGGACAGGTAATATTGGCATATATAATTACAACATAATTATTCTTAATTTAGGAAATTATCTAATCTTTGTAATTTGTAAGCTAAGCCACTTGAAATCATAGAGAAAAATGATCCATGATCGAACGCTAAATTAACACGTACCTAGTTAGTTGAATCTACTGCCCTATCCTATCTTAAATTCTACATGTAACTAGAAAACTTGTACTGAATATTACCCGAATCAAACTGACTCAAAATTCAATTAATAGAAGTAGTTTGATTGTAAGCGACGCGACCAATTTAACATGAAAGAACAATTGATCCGACTTTAGGTATGTTGTGTGAAAGAGTATAAATTCTATCATTAACGTATGAGGATGGGTGTTTCTAGACTTCGTATAGCTATTAATGTAAAAAATAATTATTCTAATTCCTGAATCATGCAAAATAGTGAAATTTTTACCTCCTTAAGAAAGGGGCAAAGTATGCATAATGGTTAGGTTAACTTTAGAGTACCCACAGCCATTAACTATTTGGGTGGTTATTAAGAGAGAGAAAATGAAAATATTAATAAAATATTGAGGAGAGAGAAATTATTGGGGTATCAATTGAATAACCAGGTTATTCAAATAACCGGTTATGTATATGGTCATGCAATTTTTTTTTTGCTTTTTGGTTGACATGGATGGCTAAGATTTTGACACGTAATACAAATATCAATGGTTGAGATTTGCTCTGAATTTATAACCGTTGTAATTTTTGTAACGGCCATAATTTTTAAAATACAATTCTGAAAAAAAAAAAAAATACACCAACGGCTCTATTTTATTTTTCTCTATAAAATGAGCCCAATATTGAAGTATTTTGAAACAACTTTTTTTTAAGTGAAAATTACTCTTCTTATTGGCAAATTGTGTTAAGATGAACATTCCAAAATCTAACAGAAAAAAAAAAATCCACAAAATCTCATAACTCATCACAGCCCCAAAATAATCCAAATCCTCAACCTTACTATTCTAATCTTCCAATTGATCTCAACTCAGATTTAGATACAAATTTTCAAAATTTTCCGAATTACGGTTCACAAAATCTCAATTTCTCAAATCCAAGTACTTTCACTCCGTTTCCTTTTCAACCACCACAAAATCCTAATTATTCAAATTCTCCAAATGCATTATTTAATAATAATAGAATTTAAGTAATAAATTGTGTGGTGGGGTTGGGTAAAAGTAGGAGAGAGAAAATGTATAACCAAAATATTATGGTTAACTATTGGCATACATTGGTTATTAAATGGTTATAAGAGTGGTTATAAGTGAGGTGGAAGATGGATAAAATAATAAAATAATCAATAACCAAGATGGGGTTGGGCAACCATTGTGTATGCTCTTAAGTAAAGTTGACAAACCTTTTAAATAGTTAATTACTTCGTACTATCTTTTTAGCTTTCTGGAAACTACAGAGTATATATTAATAAATAATTTGAGATCTCTATACAATTTGCTTAAATTATACTTCTTCTGTTTTTTTTTTTTTTTACTTGACCTGTTTCTTTTATCACGCTTGCCAATACAAAACTTTAACGATCAATAACTTAAATTCTCCATAAGTAAAAATTATAAAAGTTATATATTACGATAGTACTTATTGAGATGAATCCAAAAAGATCATACATGAATATATTTTTCCTTACATATTATTTACAAAAGACGGTCAAAGGAGGGATGGTAAATAGTGTAAAAGTCAAAGCGGGTCAAGTAATAAATAACGGGGGAAGTAAGAGTTTATGCAATCATATTGACACTTTTATAATTCACACAACATGGACTCATGGACACATAGCCTTTTGAAAACATTTAGATTAGTTGACTTGTTTTTTTTCAATCTCCTCAAAAAAAAAAAAAAGACTTGTTTTTTTCAAATCTCAAAAAAAAAAAAAAAAAAAAAAAAAAAAATCTCATCAAATCTCAATACTGCCACATAACTAGAAAGACTTGAGAAATTTGAAAATCTTCATTCTTAAGTAATTCATTATAATTTCTTAGCTCATACAGAGTACATTTAGACATATTAAGATCAATATTTTGAAATTATACATTGAAATAGATTAGAAAAATTTTCATAAGACAATGTTTCCATTACACTTAAATCACCAAAATAGAAAAGTTAGATTGTGTAAATACTTTTTAAAAAAATATGGAAGTGTTTTGATGGAAACAAATGCGAAGGAAATATTTAGCTTTACGACATGTTGTGCAACACACGTGTTGTTAAGGCGTTAATAATGGAAACTACGATTAAACAAAAATGTATGTGTTTTTGTCTTAAGTTTTTCTTATGGAAAATTTACAAGTTTAAGAAAGAAAGGGTGATGGGCAGTAAAATCTACTCATAAAAGATACTCTCTAGTGAATTAAAGAAAATGTTATATTTTGAAAAAAAAAAATAATAAATAAATAAATATATATAGATGTTAAGAGTGAGGAGAAATTATCCTAGATATAACTCTATATATAGCTAAAATAACTCTATTAATGTTATTTGCAACTAACTTTAAATTATTATTTATGAAATACAAAAAATTTCAAAATTATATTGCAAATAACAATTCGGATAGGATTATGCATTGCAAACATAATTATTATGATAGACTAGCTACTACTTGCTATGAAAATGATATTGACTTGTATTATGACAACGTATTGACTTGACCCAAACAAAAATTCTAGAAAGAATGACTCAAACAAATCGATGAATGCGACCCAAAACAAAGTTAATTTGAACAATTTATTACTAACCTTATAAATCTTTTGGATATGTCATGACAAGAACATTTATGTGGTAACGTAAAATACTAAATACTAGTAATATATGATTAAGAAATATAATAAAAACAAAGTAAAGTTGAAGATATTGAAAAACAATTACCATATTTTCGGGTTTGACGAATTTGAACATTACTTCTCTATCTTGACGAGACAAAACCTCACTACTATGTGCAATAACACTTGATGGTGCGAACCACTTTTGAGTCTGCCACCAGTAAGTTAGCCACGGTAAATAGTGTGACACTCTTAATGACCATTGATCTTGTGGAAGTTGCAAGTAATATGCTTCTTTTGTCAAATTCGCCGGTAAACTTGACCACCAATAGTTCACCACCGGTGTAACTAGTGATGCTCCCGCTAACCTGTTATAGCATTGCACCAATAACGTATCTTATAACACGTGTGTTGTGTACAGCATTTATATAATAGAATATGTTCAAATAAGACATTTCTCACTAATAAAGTAACTATTTCTAAAAATGTACATTAATTAAAGTGACTTCTTTTAACAAAAAATTAGTGTGAGATCGTCTTGTCAAAAATATCTAACGTAATTGACGTAACTCAATAAGACACCTAATAAGAAAATTAATTAATTTATGACAAAGAGAGTACAAGTACGACGTTAAATTTAATATACCTGTGAGGAATGTACTTGAACAGACCCCAAACAGCCTCTCCACCCATAGAGTAGCCTACCACATAAAATTTGGGACCAAAACCAAGCTGATCAGCAAGCTCTTCTACGTCTAATGCAAGACTTTTCGGTGTTCGATTTGGGTCCGGGGTACTTTCTCCGTACCCGGGTTTATCAAATCCCACAATATGTAACCCCAAGCTTTCAATAGTATCCTAAAAGTATATAATCAAACATTAGAATAATATGTCATTAAAAATTAATTAATACTTTCGTTACAGGTTATGTGCAACAATTAGACATTTTCCCTCTCTGCTTTATGTCAAATCGTTGCACATAACCTGTAACGAAGGTATTAGATTAATTTATCAACCATTTGTTGTGTTGTACCAAGTAAAAATATTATTTATACATGATATTGATATAATATATTTTAACATACTGGAGAAACTTCGGTGGCAATGAAAGCATGCAGCCTGCAGGAGTCAAAGCCATGAATAAAGACAAAATGGTGTTTTGCTTCATCTTTTGGCACACCATACTCTTTGTAGGCCAAATATCTTCCATCCCTTAGCTTGATCCTTGGTGCTGTTACCGGAGGGCCGCCAGGCATACCGCAAACTTTGGGTGGCGGTGGCCGGAAAGCCCTATCAGCCCATGTTAGGCAAACCACAATCACAACCACAAAAATTTTGCTAGACAAACCTGAAAATATGGGTCAATATTGTTATAACTTAATAAAATAAAATTTTAGGCCTAGTCTAGTTCGAGTTTGTTTTCAATTAACAGAGATTATTTACCAATAATCGTATTACCATAAAATTTAAGTTGAATCGGTTTAGATGAGATCAGATCATATCAGATTGGACCACTTACACAAGATATGTTACTAAAAAAATAAAGATTGTACTGGTATCTAAACAGAGGAGGTAGCTCCCATGTTGTGCATGTAAACCATTCAACGTGTTGGGTGTCGCCAAAAAGACAAACTAACATAGTAAGAGCATTATTATACGGAGGATTGTAAGCCAGGTCTAACAAGCTCACATGTTACATACTTACATGTAATAATATAATCATATCAATCACATTCAAATTTTTAAGTATTCCGTACCAATTAATTTTATACAATCAACACCCTACAAAGAGTAGAGAAGAAAAGTAAGAAAATTCCCTATTTTCAAGCATTTTATAGTTAATGGTAGCACTGTCAAAACGGTTTGACAGTTCGGTTTCGGTTCGGTTTGAAATCGGTTCGGTAGTTAATCGGGTCGGTTTAGAATCGGTTTAATTGTCTCACGGGTCGGTTTTGGTTCAGTTTAAATAGTTAGCGGTTCGATTCGGTTTCGGTTTATTCTTAAGCGGTTTTAATTCGGTTCGGGTTGTAAACAGTCCGGGTAGTAAACGGTTCGGTGCAGGCGGGTTGCGGTTTTTTAACGGTGCAGTGTAAACGGTTTTTATCCCGGTTCAAACAGTTTCGGGTTGGAAACGGTTTCAGGTTAGAAACAGTTCGGTTCTTTTTTGGTTCAGTTTATAACTGGTTCGGTTCTTTTTCGATTCAGTTTATAGCTGGTTCGGTTCTTCGATGGTTTAACCACTTTAACGTTATTCATATCGGTTCCATTTCAAGTTTACTAAATTACGGTTCGGGTCGGTTTTCGGTTTCAAAAAATAAATTGTTTATCGAGTTGTTTGGATTCGGGCAGTTAAATGGTTTATGTTTGAAATTTGATAGTACTTGCTAACCTTTTGCGTTCACAAGTTTTATATAAAGTCGGCAAGTCACGAATTATTTCTTATTTAGGCATCATATTATAAACAAATTCTCATTGATTTTATAAATACATATTATGTTCTGTTTCAAGTTTAGTCATACTGATTTTACTAGTTTATTACGAATTTAGATTATAAGAGTTAGTGTATTAATGTATTATTGTTTTACAATTAGGTTATTATATGCTTCTTATTTAATCATTTATATACTACGCATAGTATCATAATCATGATTTAATGAGTTTTTGACTTCTTGTGAAATGGAAATTTGCAATTTGGTAATTCGATACTTGATTAGTCAACAAGACTGATAATTATGACTCGTTTATCATTATATATTTTCATGAAATTATGAAGATATTACAAAGTGCTTTGATTTGTATAATGAAAGAAAACACTAATGACTAATTAACAAGGTAATATTGATTAGTTCAATCGATCATATGTACACATTATTAACACATGGCAACTAACCATCTCATAGTTAAATATTCGTATCATCGTTATTCGTATGTATTAGTACAAAGTTATAGACTCATTAGTGATCTTTTTAAATTTATCTATTTATACATTTTATTAATATAACGTTTTTATAATTTTACGTGTATGAAAATAAAGATATATACTAGTAGATGTTTTAATACGTGTCTTGGACACTGATCCCGATCAAATGGGGCAAAAAAATACTAAAGAATTGAGGGAATAATATTTTTGTAGATGAATGTACAACACACAAACACACACGGATCACCACTCTCAACCATAGATTAAAAAATCAATGGTTAGATTTTTTCTCCCACAACACACACGGATCACCACTCTCAACCATAGATTAAAAAAATCAATGGTTAGATTCTTTCTCCCACAACACACACAGATCACCAATCTAAACCATAGATTAAAAAATCAATGGTTAGATTTACATGAAACCCTTTCTCTTTCATCTTCTTCTTCTTCTTCTCGCTTCTCTCTTCTCTCATCTTCCTTATCTTCTTTCCCCCCTCTTTTGATTTACCACGCCGCCATCGACTATACTACCACCGCCAACACTATCAACAACCAGATGCCACAACACCGTTGTGAAAAACACCAACACAGACTCTACATCAACATCAATGGTGCAAAATAACGGTTTTAAGGTCAAATTCGACCATGAAAACTCTTGATCTAGAGTTTTCATGGTCGAATTTGGCCTTGTAAACCCAATTCCGAGGTTTTTGAGTGATCAAATTCAGTTTATAGCTCAATTACAAGTTGAGAACTACTCCGGCGAAACGGTTGTACTCGTCAACGGCGCCAAAACAAAGCCATGAACTCCGAATCGAGAAACTCCATGGAAATTGCATCACCTTCACAAGAGAATGATCAATCCAAGAATTTCAAAACCCTAACTTTGCTCTACTCCAATTATCTTTGGTCTCGATCCTCCAATTCTCCTTTCATCGGTAAACTTTCCAGTTTTTGTCGTCAATTTGGTCGTGCTAGGTCTCGTCGCCAGAAGTTGTGTTTGCCTCTTCCTCTTCCTTCCAAATCGGTTCATTCTTCACTGTAATTTCTCTCTATTTTACTCAGATTATGCTGAATTCAACTTAATTTTGTTTGTTTGATTGCTTGATTTGAGCTTGAGTATTGCTTACTTTTGCAATTCTTACATGTTTGATGTTTCTGTTGATTTTGTCGTAGTGTTGGATTAAGGATTTTTCTTGTGGTTTTAGTGTGATTGTATTGCTAGATTGTTTGAGCTTCTAAAATTGTGCTGAATTTGAAGTTTTTGAGCTAGAATTACTGAGAAATGTTATGTCATTGAAATTCCTTTTACCTTTATGATTTTCGAGTCGGACAGGATGATAGTTCAACATTTACTGTTCGAAGTTAAGGTTTACTAAATGTTGTGACAGTATATTGCAATGTTGGGTAGATCTGGGTTAGGGTTTGGGTTTGGGTTAGGTGGGTGGGTTACAGTTTCGGTTAGGTTTAGGTTGGTGGATCTGGCTTTGGGTTAGGGTTAGGTAGGTGGATCTGGGTTGGTTATGGGTTGTGGTGGTGGGTCTTTGTAAGTCGGGTTATGGAGAATTGCGGTGGTGGGTAGGGTGAATTACGGTGGTGGTTTTAGTGGAGGGCGGGGTTTGTTGCGGTGGTGTTAAAGTGATTTTAGAAAGGAGTGGTGGCGGGGCAGACCCTTTTTTTTGTTTTTTTATCAGAATGTTCCGACGGAATTTCCGTCGGAAATTTCCGACGGACTTTGTTGAGCTTGAAAATCTATTCCGACGAACCCTTTCCGACAAAGGGTATTGCGACAACCGATTACGACGGAATTCCGTCGGAAATCCGTCGTTATTTTCTTGATTTCTTGTAGTGGTAAATGGTTCGATTTAGAAGTGGTTTGGTTCATAAACGGTTCGGTTTATAACCAGTTCGGTTTTTAAATGGTTCGGTGCAAACGGGTAGCAGTTTGCTAACGGTCCGGTGTAAACGGTTTTTTTGCCAGTTTAAACGGTTTCGGGTTGGAATCGGTTTCGGGTTAGATACGGTTCGGTTCTTTTTCGGTTCGGTTTTCTTTCAGTTCGGTTTATATTTGGTTCGGTTTGTTAACGGGTTCGGTTCTTATACGGTTTAACATTAATCGGGTCGATTCGGTTTCGGGTTTACTAAAATACGGTTCGGGTCGGTTTTTGGTTTCAAAGAAATCGGTTTTTAATCGTTCGGTTCTCATTTGGGTCGGTCGGTTTCGGGCAGTTAAAAGGTTTCGGTTTGAAATTTGACAGCACTAGTTAATGGGTTTAAACTTGTGACCTCAAAGTTACAAGGTGAGTTTCCTACCAAATCCATCAATCTTTGCTGGGTACCTATAAAGGTATAAATGTATAATATATACTTTGAAATATACTTCTTTTTTTTTTTAAAGATGAAATATACATGTTATAGGTAATACTTTGTATATGAATATTTAACAAATAAGATAAAACAGAGGATCCATTCGTCAATCTTGGTTATATGTCGGCAATAATCAAGAATAATTCTAGATCAAACAAATATAATTATAATATCAAGCTAGTTGCTTTTCTTATCTTCTTTATTTCAGAGTGTAAAATAATGAAATAAAAAATTTGCATCTTAGATTTTACTACGTATTTTATAAGAAGGTATATATAATTTTCTTTTAAATTCGCATCTTATCATCTAATTGGTAGGCTAAGAATGCATATCAAAGAGAACACTGCATGATTTGCAACTAATTAGTAGACTTTTTTTTCCCTATTCTATTATGTACATTGATAAATTAAAATTAATATTAAACTTAAGAAGAATTATTAAAATAAATCAGTATAGCCTACTAATTAAAATAGCATTATTACATGAACATGATCTAGAGATCCCCGTAACGAATTAAAGTACAGAAAAACCATATTAAAAATACGATTAGAAAAGTTCAGAATTAAAATCAGTTAAATCATATACCATAATTTTACAAAACCTCCACAACTAGCACCTAAACAAAAATTATTTATGCGGGGAATGAGACGTGATCTATTCAATAGAAGCACGATCCATGGATGTTAATTAGGTCAGTTGTTATTAAAACTTTACGAGTTATAAATGTGTGAAATTTAAGATCGAATCTTGCCTACACTGCATTTATAATAATGAAGTCGGAAAATTGAGAAAACAAACCTAAAGAGAATGGGAATGGTAGGGAAGAGTTGGATGTAGATTTGCGAGTGTGAGCTCTAGCTGAAGCTGCTGAAATCTTTTTACTCTTCTCTTGTACACCCATTTTCTTTTTCTCTCTCTAAATTTCTCTCTCTAGCAGTTTAATGCAAAATCAGAGTTACATACCATGTAAGATGTAACTGATTTTAAAAAGATAGCATTGGTTTGGGCAATTATTTATAGTAACAATATCATGAAATTTGGTACATTTCTTTATTTGTATTTTTTTGGTGCAGGCACATTTAATTACGTTTAAAAGCGTTGATTTATGTCAAAACAAACTAAGGAGTTTGTAATTTGTATCTATTACAAGTTACTTCGTATTTTTTTAAATGGGATATTATTCAGCTGGCTGTGAGCCCATCGAAAATGACATTTTTTTTTTCTTTAATTGAAAATAAATTTATACATGCCCACTTGTTTTTATATAGTACCTCCGTTTTTAAATACTTCTTCATCTTTTCATGCGCATGCGCAGAATTTTAAGAGAAATTGAATAAAGTAATAAAATATGTAGATAGTGGGATAATGGAAGAATAAAAATTTGCAAAAAGCTAAAGTATGGGAGAGAATTAGAATAGAGATAATATGAAAATAATAAAATATGATCATAGTGGGTTCAGTAGGTGAGAGAAATTAATTTAATATTATAAAAGTTTTCCAAATAAGGAAATGGAACAAATATTTAAAAACGGCTGAAAAAGAAAAATGGAGCAAGTATTTAATAATGGGGAGAAATTCATATATATACCGTCTACTTGTTGGATTTTAAAATAATTGCTCCACTTTCCAAATTTTTCTCTTTTATCGTATTCCAATTTGTCATGTTTATGCATGGATCGCCATTGTTTCATACGATGATTCTAATCTCTTATGACTTTCGACTATCACAATTTTTTTAAATGGACGGCTGATACTATTTGTTTTAGAATTTATTTTTTATTAATAATTTAATTAAAAATAATTTTTTAAATATTTTAAATATATTTTATCTTCTAGAAATTATTTTTTAATATTTTCAAAATTCTAGAAATAAAAAAATATATAAAATAATTAATAAATGATTTTTACTTAAAAAAAAACTAATCAAAAACAAATAAATAAACAAATAATCTCAGCCAACAATTTTTTAAAAATTGCGTTAGTCAAAAATCATAAGACTACATTACGTAGAATATTCACTGTTTCATACCATTAATTGGAATTTGTTTCTTGTTGGCAAAAGTGGGTTACATTTAGTTCTTATTACAGAGTAACAAATTTCAGGTTTAAATTGAGATAACAGTAGTCCCGTACGTACACTTTTGTACCCATACCTTCCTCTATCTCTCACTCTCATAAGTCATAAATGGCGAATTATGGTAGGTGCTTTACAATTAGTAACTACTAGATGTCATATTGCTTACGCTATAATATAGTTCCCAAATTATTCATGCCTTTAGCCATCACGCCCATCACATTTGATAAGCTAGTTGTCAAGCGTGAAAGGTATGTTTGCATAGTACAACAAATTTATTATGGCTTATTACTCCGCCCTTCTAGACTATTTTAACGTGAGTATACTCGTATAAATTGATTGTCATTTTGTGCGAGAGTGCGCTGCTCATGGAAATTTAGTAATTTATTAGGTACCTACCTATTCAATTACAAGATTCCTTGATTGGTTAGCATTTTAATTTCTAAGGTCTAGTTTGCATAATTGCATGTGGTTCCCTTGGCACGGGTTGAGGAATGTAATTCAGAGTAGGGGTATCAATTTAGATGATCAGATCGGGTCTGATACTTGGATCAACTTTTAAAGTTGAATTATGTTAAATTATTATGTTCACGCGACTCTAAATCTAAATTGGATATTTTTTAGGTCGGGTCGGATGTGGTTTTGACACCTCTAATTCGGAGTAAGTAGTAAAAAAAAAAGTAGGATCGGAAACTTATAAATGGTATTTTATTCTATTTTTTTATTTTTTATTTTTTTTAAAAAAGGATGTATTACTATCATCTACTCATGTAATTTAAGGACAGCGAGAGTATCTATCATTCTATCTATACCCGTTATAAAGAAAGCTTAAAAATAGTGAACTGAGTGTGAAGTCAACGATATTTACTATACATTTCAACCACAAAATGGATTGTGCTCCATAATAAGCTTAGCATAATGGGGCTAACAGTAAGATTAAAAAAACATCCACTAGTAATATTACTGTTAGTCCCCATTATGCTAAGATAGATGTTTATTATTATTACGGAGTACTTGTACACCGTTATATTTTATGAAAAAAAAAAAAAAAAAAAAAAAAAAAAAACTGAATAAAGCCGGGAAGTAACACTTGCAATTGTTTTGTTTTTTGTTTTGTCCACGTTAAGAAACACCACCAATGAAATTTTTAGCCTATGCAAATGCAATACAAAGACTTGTACGTTGTTCCTGATGTAAACCTTTAGTTTATTTATTAATTACATGCCATTATAAACAATAATGTATACATTGCTATCAACTTCTATTATTCAACTTCTCTTTTATATAATTAAATAATTATTTTATGCGTCATAGAATAAGTAAGATAAGATAATTGTGCACTTCTCGACAATTTTTCATAAATATGGCTTGCATAATTATAAAAAAATTAAAAAAAAATTAATGTCTGGGACCTATATAAGCTAGTTTCCTCATTATAATAATTGTTTGAAATATTGATTTGTTTGTTAGTGTAAATATTAACATATAATACATCGGAACAAAAGTTTATATTTTCTAAACAATCGTCTTAGTTTTGGGATATTTTGTTTTTATTCTTATATATTTTATAGTGTACATAATGCATAAGAATAGGAACTTTAAATAATTTTAAAAAAAATTACATTATGATGAATAAATATTGTCGTGTCCTTCACCCAATATTTGTTTTATAAGTTGGAGTGTAATTTAAAAAGCTTGAGATAAACCTTTACAAGTTATAAATAATGTTAGAATAATTATGCTTTTAAATGTTAAATTATTTATACGTCCTCATTCATGTTGATTGCCTCTTTTTTGAACTATAACATGTGTACATTTATACAATAACTAAAGATGTGATACAAAAAGGTCAAACCGAAAGAGATTCTCACAAAGAGCTTAGCCGCCTTTTTTTTTAGATGAGAAATATATTGGTCAGCCACCTTAGTTAGAATAAAAGTTAAGAAATATTACGTACATTCAACTTTTAAATGGTTTGTTTAACCATTAGCTTCAATTATAAATTATTAAATTTAATCATCAGTCATGATGTATGACAAGGAAAATTTTATACCAATAATTATTTAACCTTTCCAAAGTTTAATTTTAAAATATATAATCTAATGTATGAAATTTTCAAAAGTTTAAACTTATTAGTAATAGCATAAGCGGATAGTCTAAAGGAGTAGTTACAAAATTCCATATTAATCAAGTTGCAAACTTGCAAGAGTCTGATTTCCATGTTTTTTTTAGCATAACTAGGATTTTGGCCAATGTTATTCACATGTTATTCAAGGTATATAAAAAGTTATCTGAATTAGGGATAAAATTATATCTTAAAAAAAAACACACTCTCTAGAAGATTAAAGAATGAAGAGACATAGCATTAGTTAATTGAAATAATGAAATACATCATCCGTTCTATTAATATTGCAACAAGGAGAAAATTACGCGTCCCAATGCACCTTTTATATGCTAAATATCTATAATTGTGTAAGAGTATAAATTATAAAAAGTTGATATTGTGAAAGTATTTTATGAGACGAATCCAACAAGATCTCACACGACTATATTTTGCTTAACGTATAAATCATAATATATGGTCAAACAAGAGTGTTGAATAGTGCAAAAAGTCCATTGTTGCAATATTAACAGCACGGAGAAAGTATAGATGTAGTTGCATGAATTAAAAAAGATTCAACCTGTAGACACCCATTTGTGTCTCCCCAAAACCAAACCCAGTGATGAGTACCTTTCACGTCGAATCATAATCGAATGAAGCGAAAGTGTGAAAAATCTAGTGTTGCGGATAATTTTAATTTCTTTTCTCTTCTCTCTGTTTTTGAAAACTTATTTTAAGAAAACAACTACAAATTCCTGGCTGCATTCTAGTGCAACCAAGCTAGCTGCAACAGCAATAAATATGAACATATAGTATGTTAAAATGAACATACGTTTTTTTTTCTTCCCTATATCTTAATTCTCTTTCTTCTTCTTCCTTAGCTCTATTATTTTTCTCTCTCTTCAATTTTCTTCTCAACTTAAAATTTTCTCTTTCCTCTTTACCTCACTTCCCTTCAATCTTTAAAGTTTTCTTCTTCTTTATATAAAATTTTGAGTTAGTAATTCGTGTTTTGATGGGTATACTCCTTTCTTTCTAAATCTATGAGTTTCAGATTCAATCATTTGGCTTTATCAAAGAGGAAAGAAAAAAATGGAGGAGAGAGAAAGTTGAAGTCAGAGAAAACAATGGAGGTTAGATTTTATCAATTTGTAATTGTATTTTGTATGATTTCGTTGATCATGCATGATGATTTATTGTTTGATTATTTGAAATTATTATGAGTTTGTGATGAATATCAATTAAATTGCTTAATTGTTAATGAATATCAATTGTTAAGGTTTATAATCAATTTTTTAGAGTTTCAATAATTACAATCGATCTTGAATATAATTTCTGTAAAAAAAACCTGAATACGTAGGAATTTAAAATGAACATCTTTTACAAAATGAGCATTTAGTACATCGAAAATGAATATTAAATACATAAAAAAATGAACTTATTTCGACAATTTATTTTATCTTTATTTTTCATTAATAATTATGTACAATGAATTTGAACCTTTATGAAAATCATGTTCATTTTAATATCCTAAATGTTCATAACTTTTTGTTACATATTCATTTTATAAGTGTTCATTTTTTAATACTAAATGTTCATTTTTATTAGGTTGAAAGTAAAATATAATACGTTGAAAGTTAAACTATCTAAACATTTATGTTGAAAATCTGAACAATTTATTATGAATATATATGTTTCTTTATTCTTTACGAACATATCTGTTATTGATTATGAACACATATGACATATAGAGTGAATATTATTTATATTTTTAAGTATTGTATTGATGATTATATATTATAAACATTCTAAATAATTATTATGAAGATATTTTGTGATGATTATGAAAATTCTGATTATTTGTTATATTTTAGTGAGTACAGATTAATTGTATTTGTAGAAGACAAAGACTCTGAATTAG